ACACACACTCTCTCTCTCTCTCTCTAAAACACAAGACAGTCATTAATTTAACTGATTGTTCCACAAAATTTCATTCAGATGTCATTAAACACAAAATTAATTAAAAATTTTTACGATTTCGTCACATTTCACACATCACATCTTTTGTGTTTTACAGAGTTTCATGTGTTTACTGTGGCACTGGGAGCAATTCACACAGCCATACTTCCTGTATGCCGAAACCACACTCAGCTAATAACATTAAGGCCATTTTAACAAGGTTTACTGGACATTAATCCATATCATTTACAGTGTCTTAAAGGAATAGTTCACCCAAAAATGAAAATTTGCTGAAAATGTTTTCACCCTCAGGCCATACAAGATGTAGATGAGTTTGTTCCTTCATCAGAACAGATTTGGAGAAATTCAGCATTGCATCACTTGCTCACCAATGGATCCTCTGCAGTGAATGGGTGCCGTCAGAATGAGTCCAAACAGCTGATAAAAACATCACAATAATCCACAAGTAATCCACACAACTCCAGTCCATCAGTTAATGTCTTTAAAAGCAGAAAGCTGTTTGTTTGTAAGAAACTAATCCATTATTTAGGCGTTTTTAACGTCCAACCGTCGTTTTTTTGCCAAAATACAAGTACATAATCCATAATAATAACACTTCCTCCAGAGAAAAAGTACATCCCCTATTGTCCTCTCACATCAAATCCAACAACGTATTTGTTTTGGACTGTTTTCACTTGTAAACAGAGCTTGATCTGTGCAGATTTCTCTACTGATTCAGACAAGACAACTTTTTTCATTGGAGGAAGCAATATTACGCAAAGAGGACTCGTATTTTAGCTGGAAGTGTGTGATGGATCTGCCATAAGCATTAGCAAATCACAACAAAAAAATAGTCCATAGCCACAAACAGGAGCAAAGTGGTCTTCAATCGTGACAGTCTTTATTGAAGCTTGCCGAAGCAAGATAATAGGTGATCAAGCCTCATTCGAGGTACAAAAATGATAAGTAAAAAATGTCAAGTCGTATTCCATTCAAGTTCAATCACCGGGAATAGAAAACATTCCAAGGGCATAATCGTGCTTGAGCCTCTCAGACTGACAGAGGACCAAAAAACAGCACCACCTTCCCAGGATACATTACATCATAAGCTCACTAGACAAGACATACACTGAATTTATAAGAGGTGGCCAGCACCACTAGAACAAAGAAAGGAGAAACAAAACCATACAAATTCTCAAAACAATAACAACACAAACCCTGGAATAAACATAATACATTTAACTAAATTTAGAGCCATGGATAAACTTTAGTTAATGCAAAAAGAACCCTATTAAACCAAAATCACATTGATCAGGACATCACATTTTCCCATGTCCCCTCTAATACATCAAAAGTTGGTACATTCTCACTTCCTTTAGAATTCCCATAAAAACAGTTCAACTTCCTGTTTGAACCTCTTTGTCACTAGGCTGGTCCGTTCCTGCAACACACCAGGTACCAAACATATCAAGTCATCTTAATCAATAATGGAACTTTAACACTTTTAACTATGTTTTTAACATTACAGTTTAGATGGTTTTTAACTGATTTTAATGTTTTAACCTTAAGCCAAATAACTAAGCCCGTGCACTGACTCAGTACAATGACAAATAAAGATATTAAAACAAACCATTATAGTAAAGTCTTTTCATTTATTGATCAATGCAAAGATGAAAATATAAGAATCATGTGTGGCCTAAATCCTGGCCCTCACAAAGTGACAATTTGAAGTTAATCTTAATCTTAATGATGGGTTAGTTTCTTACAAACATGCAGCTTTTCACTTCACAAGACATTAACTGATGGACTGGAGTGGTGTGGATTACTTGTGGATTATTGTGATGTTTTTATCAGCTGTTTGGACTCTCATTCTGATGGCACCCATTCACTGCAGAGGCTTCATTGGTGAGCAAGTGATGCAATGCTAAATTTCTACAACTCTGTTCTGATGAAGGAACAAACTCATCTACATCTTGGATGGCCTGAGGATTAAAACATTTTCAGCAAATTTTCATTTATGGGTGAACTATTCCTTTAAAGTACCAACTAAATATCATAGTGCATGAATATGGAAACCGTCTAGCCTCATGGTTTATGTCAATGCACCATGGTACCGCCACATACTTCCTCTGTAAATTCCAGAGAATCGAACCTGCATTTTGTGGGCTACCAGCCCAGACTCATAACCATTAGGCCAATGTTTCGGTCACATCTCACCTCACTCAGATAAATGAAGAATGAACAGGTGGATCCGTCCACTCCGTAGTTGCCGTAGCAGGGGTCCGAACGCCACATGTCCTTCATCCACTGTAGAGGAGGAAACAACAACATGTGGGTTTAGATCAGATAAGAACAAATCTAACGCTACAAACGAACCTCAGTGGTTTTGTAAAACTCCCAAGTATACAAAATCCACAGTCGATCTGATAAGCAGTCGTGCAGGAAGTTGCGTGTCAAGTTTGCAGTTTTATTTCCTGTCAAAGTTTTTCCAGGATATTTCTGAAGTTCTTAGATCAGCCTGACCTTCAGAAAAAAAGCATTGGTTTCCTCTTCCTGTATCCAATATCTTCTCCCAGTGAGACTCTCAGATGCTTCAGATCACACTCATCGATCGGGCTTTCTGAGTAAGATGCCGTCTGTGCGTTTTTAATGAGTCAGCACTTGAGAAGAAAAAGCTCGATTCGTATGAAGATAATACATTTTATAAAGTCTACATTTAAAAAACAAAAGTAGAAAATATTCAATCATATTGTGCTTAATTTGCATATGTCTGCATATTTACATTTGTTTTGGTGCATAAAGAACCAAACTAATCAAATTAATTACAGAAAGTTGATTGAACAAGAGTTTTGTTAGTGAGTTTTTGTGAGTTTTATTAATTTTACTAATTAATTTGATTCACTATCCAACCACTTCATTTAAAATATATTTTTTTAATTAAATAATTAAATGATGAAATGCATTTTTTAATTGTATTTATTTTTCATTAAAATTAAATGTTTAATATATTTTATGGATGTACTTATGGACACTATCATATTAAGGCTACTATTTTATCCCCAAACTATTGTAATTTATTCATTTCATAAAATGTATCTATTTTATTTATTTTTAACTAAAATGTAATTTATTTTTAATGGATATATTTATGTAAGTCATATCACATTCCGGAGAAAATTTTGTCCCCAAACTATAGTAATTTAATTTTAATCGCTACAGATTATCCAACCACTACTCATAAAAGGAAACTTAAAAAAAAAAATAAAGAAATACATTTTGATTAAATAATTGATTAATTTATTAAATTATTTTTTTTTATTTAATTTATTTTTAAATACAAATATTTAATTTTTTATTTATTTTATTTTATTTGTTTTTATGGATGTACTTTTGGAAGGAGATTATTTTATCCCAAACTATAATCATTTTATATATTATATATATATATATAAATTTTAATCACTACAGACAAATCAAACCACTACTCCTAAAAGAAAACCTTTTTTTCAAAAATGTTTAGAAATAATTTTTGAATTTGAAAACACTTTTTGTGCATGAATAGCCAAACAAATCAAATTTAAAAGACAGAAAGTTGATTAAATAAGAATTGAACAAATGGTTTTATGGTTTTGCAAAGAAAAGGTGTAATTTGGCTAAAACCTGACATGTCGACCTTCAAACTAATCCTTTAAAAGCACATTATCTTAATCACAGCCTCTTTTGTTAGATTTTGGTTTGCGCTTTGGTTTAATGGATAAACAACAGTTTGGAGACGTTCTAAGCCTCCAGACTAAAGTCAAACCACTCAGTCAGGCTGCTCTCACTGTTACTGTTGTCACATTTTGGTTTTAATTCTGCATGATTTTAAGAGGCTTTCCATATTGCAGCAATTTCCATGAGCGCTACACGAAAGGACCCGTGATTATTGAGACGAGGCCAGGCTCAGGTCTGATCTGACTGAAAAGACCGACCAGCTTCGGTGTGCTCTGCTTGATGTTAAATCCCACGTAATTTCCCCCGTCTGGCTGCTACATCAACGGGCTGTAAAAATCCAGACGGACTCGTATCAGGTGAGCTCATTAAGGAAAGCGGCATTCCAGGAAGGAAAAAGCATTATCACATGGTAAAACTCCATTCGGAATTCTTTAAATGATTTGAAAAATCTGAAACTTCTGGGAGGTTAAGCCACGTGACAAAACACTTCAGCCACGTGAACACAAAAACACTTCAGACTAAGAAGTGACATTACAGAAAAATGCATTTTCAATTAAAATGATACATTATTGTTTATATTTATATATTAAATAGATAATGTTATAATTTATAGCAAATTTTATACAAGTACTCTGCTCATAAATAACGCAAAAGCAGTTAAAAAGCTTTCAAATATGTCTCAAAACGAATCAATATCTCGCTGTCTGTAAAGGGAACGTCCTGCAGAGTGTCTTTAATTTAAAAAATCTATCTGTCTGGATTCAGGATGGAAATGGTTTGATGAAAAGCCATCATAGGACAGCGACAGCCCAAAGTAATTAAAGAGTGACTCTAACAAGTCTCAGAGCGAGAAGCTTTCCTCAGAGAGCTGGATCAGAGGCTGCGAGAAACACTTACATTCAACTTCCCTTCACAATGCGGAAACCCGTCAAGCGAGGGTAGTTCACATTTCTCCTGCGCTCCGTTCAGCAAGTCTGCACACACAGAGAGAAAGAGAGTAGAGAACATCATTAGCGCACAACAGTTCTAAATCAACACATTTCACAGCTGAAAATCAACAAGATTGTTTGGCACGCGGGTATCCGCCTGGAAGATCAATACCATCCAATTATCGCACAATGCACTCTCAAATTAACTCGCTAACACAATATTAGGTGCAAAAGTCACATTGTGATTACTAAGCATTCAAATTGTCTCTAATAACTTATGTCGCCTCATTTGAACTGATGAAAAACATCTAAAGGATGTAGAAAACAAACTTAGGAAAAAACGAGACCTATGTTTAAACCCATGGAAAACTAAATGTTAACCAAGTTAAAAAATAAAACCACACCATACCTACAATGCATTTTTAAAAGCAATTAAGCAAATTCTGATTGGTTTTAGACATTTTTAAGATAACTAGCTCTTGTTTATTAATGTAAACAATAAACTTTGTTTTACTGCTAACTCCCCTTCAGACTGAATACTTCACAATCACAACCCAAAATCAACACGCTTTTTCAGCACATAGGCACTCACCCAGAGTAAAAGATCAATAATGCCATTTACACGGCAAATTAACACAGTGTGAAATTAACACTAGGACCGAACACCCACATCTTGCCAAGTGCATTCAAACGGTCTTCAAAGACGTTCTGTTGCCGCTTTGCACTCCAGAAATAAAAACCAATGAATGCAAATAAATCTGACTTAAGATGGGTAAAACTTCACAAACTTATCCTGTGTATAATGCATAATAATGCATCAATGTTTTGAGCAAAAATGTCTACTATTGAGGTTAATAAAATCAGGACTTTGTTACCAATAGTTGTTATAATAGTTGTTCTTTGCCTTTTTTTACTAGAAACGCTTTACTGGTCGGATAAAGCAAGCACTTTAAGTAACAACAAAGGGTTGTTAAAAAATAAAACAAAAACAAACAAACAAAAAATCAATGATATATACAGAACAACTTAATGTCGATAACTAAAGAATGTAAAAAAAGACGTTAAGAAAGTAAAAAAGCAAAGAGGTTTGCAGTCAAAATTACTTTTTCAATATTTCAACTTTACTTCAAATAAGTTACTGTTTGTAAGGTTCAAAACATAACGCATTAAATGAAACTGTCAGACAGGGAAAAAATTGTAAACTTAAGCGGTTTCGTAAGTTCGCAAGTCTTTTGAACTTGTTTTATTTAAATATCTAATTTTAAGGGTAATGAGATTGTTTAAACTAATACCATTTAGATTTTTTATGATAGTTACCTTTTTGTTTATTGTTTGTTTTTCATTTATGAGACTTCTACGAACTTTACTGTTCTATATATAAAAATAAACTTCTGGCCGAAGAAAATGATGGTACAGCTTTATACTTTGAGCTTTAACTTCTAACTGCCCTTTAGGGGCAAACAAAAACATTCCGCCCCAGCTTTTTCCTTTCTCTCTAACACAGTTTCTGTCGAGCCATCAAATTCCGCAATCTCCTTCCTTCTGTGAAACTTTAGTCAACACATATGTCATGAAAGAACCTTGGACCATGAATGTACTATTTGCAGATTCAAAAGAAAACCAATCGTTGGGGATGTGAAGTAGGCACACATAATCTACTGTGCTAGCAAATGTATCACTTTTCCAATGCAAGACGAACCCTGATCTGAGTGCAGACTTTTACACTTTCACAGACGCTTTCATCTCAGGCAATTTACAGTGGTCGCTTGGGTGTTCCCGGGAGTAAAGAGCTCTGTTCAAGGGCACAGTGGAGATAAGCAATCTCAGTGACTCAAGTTACAGAGTTTAAAAAAGCCAAGCATTGTAGAATATCAAGTGCAAGGCTGACACAAGTATATGACATCATCCTGCGGAGATGGCGCTTGTCAGGCATACATATAAACGTGTTATTCATAACTATTTGTTTCAGTGAATTTAACAGGTATTTGAGAGGTTAAAGTTAGGTTAGGTCATAATATCATAACTTCAAGAGATACACAGTGACTTGTTTAATTTGGCTGGAAGTCATAGGATTCTAGTGTTCGACTTGACATCTAAAGATTAAATTCTCCCATCTGTATTAGCTATAAAATCCCTGAAGAGATTAACTGGATCCATAGACCGGGATGTCAGGAGGAGATTCTTAAAGATTGCAGCTAAATCAAAAGCCATTGTTTTCGCAGGAAATGGGCCAAAACAGAGCAGATGTAAGAAGGAAGTGGAGTCGAATTGAGACTAGATGAGACAAAATCAGAGAAAACAAGATGAGGGTAGTGCAAACGAGATGAGAGGGGAAAGAAGATGAGAGAACAGGAGACAAGGTAAGACGAGACAATATGAAGGAGGGGACGGGGAGAAGTGGGGAGACAAAATAAGAGATGATGAAGGGATGACAAAGATGAAGGGAGACAAAATGAAAGGAAACAATATAAGATAGGAGATGAGATGAGATGAGATGAGACGAGACGAGATGAAAGGAGAGAAGAACAACCCAGGTGAGGTGAGATGAGACATGATGAAAAAAAAGACATGAGATGTGATGAAAGGAAACAAGGTGAGGTGAAACACGATGAAAGCAAAAGACACTAGATGAAAAGAGACTAAATTAAATGAGATGAGATGAGACAAGATTAGATGAAAGGAGAGAAGAGAAGAGGAACCCAGGTGAGGGGAGATGAAACACAATGAAAGGAAAATACACTAGGTGAGATGAGACGAGATGAGATGAGATGAGATGATAAAAGCTGAGACGAAAGGAAACAAGGTGAGGTTAGATGAAATGAAAGGAAAAGACACCAGGTGAGACAAGACGAGATTAAACAAGATGAGATGAGACAAAATTAGATGAAAGGAGAGAAGAGGAACCCAGGTGAGGTGAGATGAGACATGATGAAAGAAAAAGACACGAGATGAGATGAGATGAGATGAGATGAAAGGAAACAAGGTGAGGTGAGTTCAATATTTCAACTTTACTTCAAATAAGTTACTGTTTGTAAGGTTCAAAACATAACGCATTAAATGAAACTGTCAGACAGGGAAAAAATTGTAAACTTAAGCGGTTTCGTAAGTTCGCAAGTCTTTTGAACTTGTTTTATTTAAATATCTAATTTTAAGGGTAATGAGATTGTTTAAACTAATACCATTTAGATTTTTTATGATAGTTACCTTTTTGTTTATTGTTTGTTTTTCATTTATGAGACTTCTACGAACTTTACTGTTCAAAGACAGGTTCAAAAATGTATTTCCTGACTGATTTTGTGGTCGCAATAAGAATTCAAGCTGTTATCTAATATATCCAAACGTTGCATTTTGTTTATCTAGAATCTTCACTGTTTGCATTCATGACCATAATATATATATATATA